GAAGTGGCTGGACAGGCATGGAAAGCCCAACTCCTCTGTCTGTATTTTCTTTGTCAGCAAGGACAGCAATCCCTGCTAAAAGCTTTCACCTTCCTATGCCTTTCTTGCATTTCTTCTGAGCCACACAAACTTTTAAGAAATAACACTCAAATGATCTGCCAAAAACAGGCATCAGAGAGTCTCCTTCATTACGATCTGAAACCAGACCCTTCAAAATACAAATGGTATTTAGTGGATCTTTTCTCAGTATTATCCATATTTCTCCTTGATGTCTTCACAACTTGTAGAAAGGTTGTCATTGACTTTGATCTGATTTTGATCACAATCACTATTTCTGTGCTTTCTGACACTCCTGCAATTCCATGCATTTTGCATCTTAAACATCCCTCCCTTTCTGTATTTTTCCTGCCTCTATCTGCTCCTCTTCCCAAAGTTTATTCTTCTATCACTTTTTTATCACTGTTAGCACATTAATTGGTGAACTTGTCTCTAAGAAATTAACTGCCTTGAGGCACATCTTTCTGCTTTCTCCTAATGCTTAATCTCTGATCATATCTCAATTTTATAATCCCTATCAAGCCTTTTATTAGCTTTTGCTTTTATTACTACTAAAATCACAAAACACAGTATGTTGGACTTTGCTCTTGCCTAACGGTTATCCATTCTAAAAATATCAGGTCCGTGTTTTTTTTACATTCTCCTCATTTAATGCTTTTTCAGCCATTACAGCATTAGCAACAAGATAAATACTTTATGCTTATGAACTCCTTGCAGCAAGAACAGAGAGAAATACGTGCCTGCCCACATTCGAAATATTCTGCTAACACACATCCCTTGACATTTCCCACCATGTGGGCAGGCAGGCAAAGGGATTCTGTTTCAGAGACAGGAGAGGGGAATCTATGAACCATGAGCTGGCAAAGCAGAAGGAAACCAGTGGTCCAGCAGGAAACCCATCCCACAGAGGATGGGCACCTGGCAGAGAGGGCAGGATGGCCAAGCCTCACTCAAGGCTCAAAGTGAAGCACTCAGACCTGGAGTTGGTGGGACTGGTCAGATTCCAGCCATTTCTGATCCAACAGAAATCCTCCTCACCTCCTGCTCTGTTCCCAAGAGCCATCCCCACACACAGCCTGCTGGAGCAGGGCTGCTGGCCCTGCATGAGCAATGGGAACACCTCACTGGGATTTGGCTCCAGCAGTGTGGGCAGTGTTGGTTACCCCACCTGCTGATACACCTGCCTGAAGTGCAAGCAACCACATGCATATCACAACTGCCTCTCCTCCTGCTGCTCTTTGTACTGTAGTTGAGAGTAGTTTACTTTCACTTGGAATAAAAAAATAAACATCAGGAATGATGCACAAGCACAGAGTTTGTACAGCAATACAATAAGTGAACACATGAAAAAGGAGACCAACTGTAAAACACAAAGACAGAACAAGAAATAAAGCAAGAGGAAGATGGTGAGGAAGGGCAAAGCAAGCTGGTGTGTGTAGCTGGCACCACGGGGTAGCCAGGGCTCCTAGCAGGAGGAAGGACAATTAGATTGAGCAGATGAAAGCAATGATGATGATTGCTGGTGCTGCAGACACGGCTGGCCTGCATTAGGTTAAATAAGCTGGATGCAAGCCAGCATCATTGAACAAATGGCATGGCACATTCCCCAGGAATCTGAGGAGAGATTACCAATATCTTAAAGGTGACCTTTCCCACTTGCTCTCCCAGCAAATCTGAAAATTCTCTTGGCTGTAATGGACGAGATGGGCAGAGGCCACTCTCCTGAAGTTATGCATGCCTCATACAAATCGGATTTTTAGTTTTAGATTTAATATCAATTGACTGCACCTCATTTGAGCAAAGTATCCTAAGTGCTTTATTGGTTTATTTCACCCCTTCCCCATTTTAAAGAAAACCTAATCTAACTTTCTATTATTCATTATCATCCAGGCAGGCAACAAGAGAAAAAGAGAACCCTAATTTTTAGCCATATTGTCTATTAAAAATGTAAAATGTTTCCTAAAAGGGCAGGCACATTAATTAAGGCTGCCTCAGGATAAATGAAGATTACTAGGAGTGCTCTGCTCTCCTGGATGAGTTTTCCATTATAATCAAATGAAACCAATTACTGCATTTGTAATGGAAACTACACCTAAGCTGAACATTTCCACTTTTGCAGAAGCTGGAGACTATACTGCACGAGCAAAAAAAGGTCTCCAAACAGGAAAGGAAAAGAGAAGGAAATTTCCCCTTTGCTGGGGAAAATAAAGAATCCCGTATGTAGACCCAACAGTAAATACACTGGACACAAATGAAATGGCCCCAGTGTAATTGAGAATCACAGCCTGGATTCCCAGAAGTCGTCTCCAGCAGGAAATCCTGAACCTGAGCACTGAACTCCTTTCTGCTTCTTCAGAGAAGAAAACACACCTTAATTAGGCTCAATTTTCTAAATAATGGTTATCCTCTGTAACTAATCAGGAAAATTTTAAACCAGTATCAGCTGAATGCTTGTTCAAATAGTGAAACATGCTCTGTCTTCCAAATATCATCTTACTCTGCAGACAGCTGAAAGGATCGAGGGTAACACACACTGAGGCACAGTTTTTATTTTCAAACATCCTTTGCTATCCTACTGAGCAGCCCCTAGAACAGCACATAATCTTCTCCTGCACGTGGAGATTCTAGCAGTGACAGAAAGCAAAGATAATTTCAGGGAAAAAGGAATTAAAGGAATTTCTAACACAACAGCATTTTCAGAACTTATTCCAGATGGAAGAAGGCAAATGTTTAAAGGTATTGCTAGGGAACTAAGAGGGCCCCAAATAAAATTATTTGAATAATCTTTAAAGAGAATCCTGAGCCTGAAAGACATTTCAGAGACAATTCTACTTCCAAATCACCTAAAAGCAATACACTCATTGAATTCATCATATTTATCCAATATTCACCTGGATCATGAATTTTACCCCTCAGTAAGCTAAGCTAGTGC